ATAATATTATTATGTTATTATTATATATTATATTAATATATAATTAATATATAATTAATTAATGTTTTTAATTACATATCGCGAATATCTAATATAACATACATTGTACATGATGAAATTTTAAGTTGTACATGATAAAATTTGTAATATCGGTAACAGCTGTGTAGTTATGACTATTGGCTAGAAGACCTGTGAATACAGAAATATCATTCGTAATTCATTCATAAAATAGGTCAATTGTAACTGGTAGACGTGGGAAAGTTAAGGCTGTGAATATTGAGGAGTCAGCGCATGGTATCTTTTTTTTTTAAAGAAAAAAAAGTAATTCGAACAGTGTAGTGCAGCCGGAATTTACCTTGAAGAAGAACAGATTTTTGTTGACTATATGACGATTACGTGACTGGTGTGCAGAGATCGTTGAATATTTTTTATTTTTAATACTGTTTTCGTAGAAAATATTTCATATAGAACGAGTTAGAAAATTGTATAAAATAGATTAACTATATACTTACGAGTGTGTTTACATATTAACACATAGGATGTTTCATTGCTAATGGAATTTATTCCGGGGACAGATTTAATGATATGAGAGCCGATAAAAAGATTTACACGTATATGTAATATTTTGCTCAGTTTAACTTTCATATTTCTAGAATTTATATAAAATATCACCGAAAGGCTTTAAGAAATTTAGATATGTACTAACTTTGTCCGTCTCTGGATTTCACATCTGTTCCTGAGATGGATACCTGATAATGAAAAGTCCTATATGTGTATGGACATACACATGTGCATAAATTTATGTGCACGTGGCAATAACATATTTTTTTCAACATGAGCTGATTCTGTGAACAAAAATGTAACTGCATCAGAATCAACCCACCAAGCGTTGATCGAAATGTAATATATCGTTGATGTACATACCGCGAGGTTATTGTTATATAATAATTATTATTATTATTAAAACAAAATTTATTGAGAATGGTCTATAACGGTTTACTTGCAAACATCTTCCCTCCACTTTTTCTTCTACTCCAATAAGATTCTTTCGATCTTGTGCATAATTTTTATTGTTTTTTTTCCTTTTTTACATATCATACAATGGAAATGATGTCGAAGTCAATGGAACACTGGTCATCATGCACATATTTCTTTTTCTTCATTATCTTCATGATATTGAAGATCCCCCGCACCTCGATCCGTCATACAGATGTGTCTAAAGGTATCGTGCCGTTTTACTAAACTCTCAAATCATGCCCATAACGTCTCGTCGTTAAAGTAATAATAATAATATATTCAATCGTATATGTAACGGTTGCCATTATCATCTATCGTCTTTAAATAGTACATCATATGTTACAGTGTGTTTAATACTCCACGATTCGATCTCTTGCTAGCAACAGATGCCGCGTTATCCGGTGATATTAGCACGTGATTACCGGTTACGTGTACTATGAATTTCTAATCTACGCGGCAGGATGAGACGGAAAACCGTTCTTATACTTTCGTTTATATTACACATACATAGAGAACATTGGGAATATTAATTTCCCAGTTAATACATTTGTGTCTCTTCAACAAAGCGGAAAGAACGAACGAAAGTATATCTCTGCAAGGGGGAAAAGTTACTTTCTTTTATATAACTGACTAATTACAGGTAGCTCTCCTCTTGAGCCGAACGCGTCGACTCTCGAGAACGCGGAGTGTATCTTTCGAACACGCTGCGAGTGCATTTAAGAATGTCCCGCTTTATTGTCTCAATCGTCACGGGCACGTGACTTGGCTTCGTCCGAATGATATTTCGCTGTATGATATATAGTGTGTTAGAGGTTCCACTGTTGGTTAGCTTTTCTCTATTTACAATTCCGCCTCAAGGCTTCAAGAATGACGTAAATTCGGCAAATAATTCACAATAATCGATAACATTGTTCTGCGCGGTCATACATTATTAATGAGCTGATTAAATTACAGGTAAATTCTCAAATTAGATCGGGACATCCTTAAATGTTAGAGCCAAGTTGCAGAACAATCATATTTTAAAATTGCTTTTAACAAGTGACAATAGGAATTTAGTCTTCTAAATTCCTGAATGCCTGCTGAATGTCTTCGTGTAACTGATCGAAGTCCGATCTGATTTTCGCCTCGCCGTCCTTAACAGGGTCCTGAAATTTACACAAAAAGAGAATATATTGAAAAACTGTCATTGTGAATGATCAAATCGTTATTAATGTAATAGTCTTGTTAATTAATGATTAATGTAATTAATAATTAATGATACACTTATTATAAATTGTGTATACCAACCTTGAACTTCATGGAGCTCAACTGATAAAGTATATTGCCCATGCTGTCTCTAATAACGTTCCACGTGATTTTATTGTCTGATTGCGCTGTTGATTCGACCGCGTGTCTTGCCATATCGTAAAATGCAATCATATTTCGCAACATTCCCACAGTTTTGTAGAACGGACAGAAACGATCGTACGGCGAATAGCTGAAAGAAATTTGAAGATAGTAGTTAATAGTTCACAAAATCACTATCATATTTTTTTTGAAAAGGTATTACAAATTCTGTGTGTACCTATTCTGTTGCAAGAAGTCATCCTTCAGCAACTTCGCCACCTCGAGCGTGATTTTGTCCGTTTCAGCAAGGGAAGCCTTGCCTACCAACTGTACAATTTCTGATAGATCTTCTTCCTCCTGCAGAATTTCTTTTACTTTTGTTCTCAGCGGCACAAATTCCGGGAAATTCTTGTCATAGAAATCATCCAGCGCGCGTAAGTACTTGCTGTACGATATGAGCCAATTAATAGACGGGAAGTGCTTACGCTGTGCAAGTTTCTTGTCCAATCCCCAGAACACCTAGAAGTTAGAGAATTCATTAAAAAGTAGTTTCATCTATCGTGACCTTTTATCTCACATATAATGGAATGTCATTAATACCTGTACAATACCAAGCGTCGCGCTGGTCACAGGATCGGAGAAGTCACCACCTGGCGGTGACACGGCGCCTACGATACTGACAGATCCCTCACGATCTGGATTTCCCAAACATTTCACCCTGTATAAAAATGGAAGATTCAACGAATTGTAAATGGAAACTGTTTCTCTTGTTGTGTAATATGGACGTTGCTTCAACGTGATCTATTACATTCTTAATAAGAGTATAGATATCACTATCGTGTGCTTGCTGATATCACGATACCTTAATAAAGAATTAAATGCTTATCAGCGAACAATTTTTTGATAATGTTTTTGATGATAACGTCGTACCTTCCGGCGCGCTCGTAAAAACTGGCCAGACGAGCACCGAGGTAGGCAGGATAACCGGAATCAGCAGGCATTTCAGCCAACCGTCCTGAAATTTCTCGGAGAGCCTCAGCCCAACGCGACGTCGAGTCCGCCATCATCGACACATTATAACCCATATCACGGAAATATTCAGACAATGTGATACCTGTGCAACGGACAATGGACTTACTTATTAAGTGCATTTGTACAATTACGATAGCGTTAATCACTAAGCCTGTTTCTTTTCGAAGAATTTTCTGAACTAATGTACACTGGTATAAGTTAGAGTAAAACAAAAAGTCTGTTCTTTTTCGAAGAAACTCTTTGAACCTTTGATACAATAAGTTAGAGCAAAACAAAATATACTTGTCTCACTCTGACTTACTGCACCAATGTACAACAGAGCAAGAAGCTGTTTGAAAAAGGACAGGTTCAAGTATATAATAAGTTTGTTTTCTGTTGCTATACCAGCTTTCTCTTTTTTTCTTTCTTCCGTCAAGTTTCAACTGTATACTTGTTTCTTTTCCGTAAGTATACATTAGTCCAGTGATAAAAATAAATCTTTTAGTTCACTATAACTTTTTGTATAAATGTGCACCAGTTCAGGAAATTGTTTGAAAAACAGATTTACTACACTCGACGATAGGTGTTCGAATCACTGTCCCGAATTTTGTCGAGCGATTCAATGACTTCGATGACGTGCGACATACCAGTATAGATAGAGGCTTCACGCGCAGCTACAGGCATGTTGGATGTGTTAGCTACCAAAGCGGTACGTTTCATGATGGACTCGGTGACGCCGTCGATTTCCACGGTTAGCTCGGGAAAATCGCGCAATACCTCGGACATCTCGTTACCACGTTCACCACAACCTACATAGATGATAACGTCAGAGTTGGAATACTTGGACAAGGCCTGCGAGATGACGGTCTTGCCGCAACCAAAGGCACCGGGAATAGCAGTGGTTCCGCCTTGGACGCATCTGTAACATGCGTCGAATTCCAGACACTTATGAGATTAACATTTTGACGATGCTACCTCGACTAAGTATGTAGAAATGGGTTCTTACGGAAAGAGAGAGTCCAAGACACGTTGACCAGTGAGTAGAGGATGATTAGCCGGCAATTTTTCAGTAACCGGACGGGGTTGACGGACTGGCCATACCTACATGCAAGTAGACGTAAATCACAACATGCAACATTCAAAACTCTCACGCGGCTCACGCGGTTAGATTACCTATTGGATATCGTACCTGAAGCATGGTGTATTTTTGTCTCTCGCCGTCGAATTCCGTTTCTAATACGACGTCCTATAATAATATTACATATTTGTGAAAATCATTATTGCTTGATATATAAGTTTTTATCATGAATATTATCATTCTTCTTTTCGTATTCGTAGTGAAATTCTGGATTGATGTGTTAGAAGCGATAAAACGTATGTCTAAAATTTTTGCATACTATTTCCAAATAAAAAATATTTGTATAATTTTTTCAGATCGCTTCAACATACTTGTCAAATGTTACGAAAATTATCTTTTTTCCTTTATACTTTATAAATAATCTTAAAGTTAACGTGACATGTAACTTTCTTCTTTAACATTTCTTCCTTTTTTCACGATTTTATCACGTTAATTTTAAGGCTATTTATTGACTATCAAGGGAAGAGGATAAGTTTAAAAGCATTTCACAAGTATGCCTAAGCAATCTGAAGTGTTTTGTCATATAAATATCTTTTTATTAGGAAATAGCACGCAAGAATTTTGGACATGCATTTTCTTACTTTTGACATCATCCAGAGTTCCGTAGCAAGTGCTCATGGGAGTTTTAGAATTATAAAATGAAATCTAATATAAAATAGAGTCTTACGTCAACTGTATAGTTGCCAGTAGGAGCGACGTACGTGACGGTGCCTTTGCATTTTGGTGGTAGAATCATCCAATGCTTCACCAATGTATTCTCGTGCACGACTCCGTACAGGTCGCCACCCGTGATGTGGCTGCCATTCTTGATATTGTGCGCATTAAATTCCCAGCTAGCTGTACGCGACAAGGCAGGCACATTGACACCTTTCGGGATATAGATCGAGCTCGTGAGCTCGTTGATGTCTTTCAGCGGACGTTGGATACCGTCGAAGATACTGCCGAGGATACCAGGACCCAATTCGACCGACAATGGCTTTCCAGTACGAAGCACAGGGTCACCAACTGTCACGCCACTTGTCTCTTCATACACCTTGAAATGTTACAGAATTGTTTGAATTGTAAAAATATACTGGTGTATCGCAAAGTATAGATGAAAAAGATATAGTGTTTTGTATCTCAACAGAAATGAGAAATTGGTTCTTTATCTTCCAAGATATAGAGGTATATTTTGCAGAATTGTTGCGTACTTGTATCGTAGCCATGTCTCCTTCCAATCTGATAATCTCTCCCACTAACTCGTAGTAACCAACTCGTACCAACTCGTACATAGCTGATCCAGCCATTCTTTCAGCAGTAACCACTATAAAAAGAGTATGTTGAATTAAGTGTTCATAAGATAAGGGAAATTTGACTTAAGTAAAATAAATTCACCAGGTCCAGATACAGCGTATACATATCCAAACTTGCCCTCCCGTTCCTCATTCGCTATCTTTAACAAGCCTTGATTCGTCATTTTGAATAATTATTTATCTGAAAACAGAAAAAATTATATTGCAACCTCTAGTTTCTACAAAGCTTTATTTGCAAGTGACAGAATCAAGAGACTGTGAAGTACAGTGATAAGAAATATACAGCTCCGAACTATAGATATGTCTCTTTTAGCTGTCTAGTTTTTCAAAATTTTGTTACTATAGAAAATATATAAAATATACGATATGTACAAGAATAAAAATAAATTGAATATAAACATATGAAGAGCATATATATACAGAATCTCAGCCTGTCCTTTTTAGCTACACTATCTACACCTCCCAGCAATTTTCGTTTCTTCTCTTCGCACTTTTCATATTCGTGATGTGAGGCATTTTAAAATATAAAATATATAAGATATGAGAAAAAACGAAAGTGAGGAGGTAAATCCATTGATTCAGCCTTTCCCTCGTTTCTCATACGATATATGCGATTTCTCGCTGGTCGTGATCGGAAGAGCCAGATTCAAGGAAAGTTTCTGACTGTCACACGCGCCGACTGCTCTTGGGGATTCACGTGAGCACACGTTCAAAAAAATAGGCGTAGCCCCGCGAAGTCTGCGAACCGTCTGCTAGACGTAGGAGGGAAGCTTGTCGATTGGCAAGAACGGTGATAAATCGCGCGAGGGTCGCGCGCGAACGTGCGAATGTCGAGGGGCGCGTCGTGACCGAAAATTCGACCGAAATTCGTGCAATGTGTCGATCGACGAGACGATGGCGCACCGCAAAGTAGGTGCGCGATCGATACTACGCGCGCCGGAGTTTGCTCGCTCGCTCGCTCGTGTGGATTTCCGCGCGTTACTCGCGAAACGTTGAATTGAGATTAGCTCGTGCGATTGAAGGAACAGGACCGCGGATCTTGGCGATCGATCCGAACGGCACGATACTTACGCGTGTGCGAGATGCGACGTTTCCGAGCGCGGTCCACCCAGCGACGAGTCAAGCCTCTTCGGTGTCTCCGGCCTAGCTGCTATCACAAGACAGGTCAGCTGACTGAGTCGCGTGCCGATCCTCAATTATTAGACTGGTGCGCGCGTGCGTGGGATTTATGATCGCTCCGCATGAAAACCGCGAGAACGTATTATCTTAACGTTCGAGAATTCGCGCGTATTATAAAAAATATTATCATAAGAGGAATGTTACAATGGGTTGCAAAACGGTTTAGACACAATGCTAAAATTGGGAACTCACTAAACTGTCAAAACTGGAAATTATTATCAACAGACTTACATAATACTGATATAAATAATAATATAATTAAGGATACTAAATGTGTATGTAATAATTATAATTGATAACAATAATTAATAATATAATTACTAGGTAAAAAAAAACCTGTCAAAATAACTCCTAATTTTTGACAGATAAGTGAGCTCGCAATTTTATTATAAAAACTGCTTTGCAGTACCTATTGTACTAGTACTATACAATAAATAAAACATAATTTTAAATTTACACACAAAATAAATGTGCAATTATGTCACTATTTAAATCTAGTCTCTAGGTGTGTTTAGGTCTATGAAACAAATTTATCTATGATACAAATTTAGACAATAACTATTTCTAATAAATTGGTTTTTCTAATTAACTGCATTATTTGTTAGTAGAAAATACAAGATACATAATTTATGTAGGTAAATATCTTTTATTTGTTTCAATGTATAATAGCTTTTACATATATCTAAAATATGTGAAACATTACAATGATATGTAGCATACAGTAAGGCACATACTTTTATTATATACACTAAATTTATTAATTATATTGCTGTGTGTATTATTGTGCGTATTAATTTTTTTTATGATTTAATTAGTAATGAATCTGAGAGATGTCAGATACATTTCGCAGGCTGTATAAAGATTATCGAAATCTACAGCTTCAAAAAGTGCTGTGATAATCATGTGCAAAATTTTAGCACCAGCAATGCTCTGCATACGAAGACACGTATTTATACCCCACTGTTTAAAATTTCCCGTACAATACAACCAGACAAACTTAAACACTTTGAATAGAAATTCGTCTGGAGCTCGGGAATGTTGTATTAATCTAACAGCGATGTTAAACAGTTTTTCCAGAAGGTTTTCGTTTATATTTAACGAATCCATTTCTCTGAGCAATGGAATAAATTCAGCCGTATCTACGTTGCGTCTGGGGTTTTTAGTTATCTTAAAGAAGTTTTCTAATAAATTATCTAATATACTCCACAGTTGTGTAGTACGGAAATCGTCTTCATCTTCATTTTGCGAGTTCGGCATGTTGCTTTGATTAGAATTAATAATAGATCTACCTGACCGTATAAGTTCAACAACAAAGAGTTGAGCATCCAAGAGTGTAATGCCATTAATTACTAACATGCCCTTTTTAATTGCCCATGTGATCATCTGGGAGTTAGTATTGTCTGTCGCTCTATTAAAGTCAGAAGTGCCAGGAGTGGCAGAAGTGGCAGAAGTGGCAGAAGTGTCAGGAGTGGCAGAAGTGGCAGGAGCAGCAGAAGTTTTAGAAATTAGCTGATTACGATGCTTTATGTAGCGTATCACTTCGGCTTTTTCGGTCATTGGGCATGAATTATTCGCGGCAGCCCGTCGTTTGACGCGATTAAATTGTTTACGGAGACGCTTAGTGCGCATGGTTTCCCTGTAGTCATTAATGATTCTGCTTTGATTGTTTTCAATGACATCTCCGGCGAACTGAATATTTATTACAGCACCGGTAAAGAACATAAGGTGCGTCGCCAAGCTTACTGCATCGAGAAAACTAACTGTCTCATCTGTCCTATATCTATCTACCATGCAATAACCCTGATATATAATACCGACGCCATTCAAGAATAAGTTGCCACCTTGCACGGTATTGAATGCTAGTCTTGCGGCAGTGTTTACCGTCATACCGCGTGAAACAGCGGCAGAAATAGCCGCTGTTCCTCCCATTACGCCTAAGCCAAACATTGAACCAGTGATTGTAAGCCACTGTGGAAATGCTTCTCGATCCAGAGGATTAATGGATTCTTCGTGGACACTTCGATCTATTAGTTGCCCAGTGCCTCGTGCCATTGCCCATATAGCAGTTACTCCGGTAGCGATAACACCTATGTAAATTATAAACATTGATCAACTACATATATAATAATGTATTATTTCTAACATATAAAATAGATGCTGCATTTATACAATATAAGTCGATATTAATTCTATTTGATCGTAAGTCAGGCTATGCCTGACGAAACATTTTTAGCATTCTGTAAGTACATCCGATACGCGTAATTGTTCATTGCTAATAATCGCTAATGTCAAAATAATTCCGACCAGTAAGATACTTTTGTCTTAACACGCTATGATCGCAAAGGATTAACGGATTATAAAGTAGTTAAAAAGTGTTTATTATTATTTGAGAAATTAAAAAGTCACTATCTTCGTTGTATGAATTAAAAGTTAAAACTCCTAGTCTCACTGCTGCATAATCCTGTATTGATGTACCATCCATCTGACCTTTAACATCATCAATTCAGGATTCCACAGGAATGGGACCAGAAGCCTTAAGTACTCTACCTGCAGTAGCAACAACTGGTGCTATAGGTGTAACCAATGTTGCAGCACCTATTGCAAATGCCCCAGTTCCAGTGATAGTAGAGGCAATATCTACTCCACTACGAATCTGTGCTCCCAGTGAGCACGCAGGCGACTCCATAATTTCAAGCCACACTGTTGAATAGTCCTCTGTAATCGGACAGGACGGATCTGCTTGATATAAACCATCTTTTGGAAGAACCATTGTGCATTTGAAGAGATTATTATTTGTCTGGTAATCTGTCCAATCTTTATATACTCTGCCAGATGTATCAATATACCATATCTCGTATTCATCTGTTTTTATTAAATTTGTTGTTGTTTCTTCTTTCTTTGTAGTATCAGTTTTCTTACTCCAAAATAATGTAGTATCAGTTTTCTTATACCTCCAAATTTTAAAAATAGGAATGGGTATTACTACAAATTTTGCATCTTCTTCTTTCTTAGGACACACTACTATATTGTAAATTATAGCAGAATAAATGGGTTTATCAGGATCGACTTTTGTTGTATATTCATGTATCTTTTCATATATCTTATTTATAAGAGTTGTATCTTTATAAACTATTGCATCAGTTATATCTGCATCTTCACTTTGATTTTCTGTATTGCAAGAAACATTACTATTTGTTGCATTCTCATCAGTATTTGGTGGGCCATAAAGTGCATATCCAATATTTTGTTTCAAGTATTTGTGTTCGTTAGATTCATATGTCAAGCAATCACAAAAAAGCTCATAGAAACACTGTTGTTGCTCAATAGCAAGATTCTTCATATCTTCCTGGAAAGCAAATAAATAATTAAAAAACATAATATTTATTATCAATACATAGGGGAAAAAGGATATCTTAAATCTTTTAGAATTTTTAAGATATTTAAATATCTAAAGTGGCTATCATTATTATACAATTAAATTTTACAATTATAAATCTTACAAATTAAATTTTTGTAATATCTATCGAGTTTCAGAATTCAAATTTATTGTTAACACTATTAACACAACAGATTACATATATTGAAAGAAAACTTACAAAATCTTGGTTTGTAGTCGTCTCATTGTTTGCAGCCATGTTTGTAAAACCCTTTGGAAGATAAAAGAATATCAATTTTTTTCTTGTCAATAAAGTTTAACAATGATTAGTCATAAAATGGTTAGTCATAGATAAAGTCAATAACGATTGATATAATTTAATTTGATTAAAGTTTTAGATTTTAGATAAGCTATAGTGTATTATATTTGTTATCATGTTTGTAATGTTTGTTATTTATTTTGTATTTATTATTTGATATGAAAATAGTGATTAGTTATTAGATATTTATTGATGCTATCACTCGTATAGACATTTTCTATGTATTTTAAATTACTGCGTATTCATTGTACTGTATATATATGGTTCTCTCGTTGAATGGGATGACGCCATCGTTGACGTTTTAACCTCGTAAACTGACATCTAATGTCCTCGCACTTAGTTTTCAAAAAAGACTTGAACATTTCCGCACTAAGGTCTGGTTGCACGAATATTCTTGACCATCAAATTGGAATTCACTGCCAATTCTAATTGCCGTTGCTTTTCTCTACTTGTCATCACGAACAATCGTTTGATGCACTTTGACATGTACTCTTACTTCTATTATTCCAAATAACGTCAGAAGAAAAACGTCAATTTGATAAAAAGAAAAAATATGCAGCTTCTTGTGAATCGGGGCACTGCAATTTTTCAAAGTGTCGCAAAGTGTTACTGTTTCAAATGAGGTAAAAACAAAAGATCTATCTGACAACTTGCTATCAATTTCCGATTATCAAATTTACGAGACGTAACATAAGTAAAAGTAGATTCATGAAGAGTAACTTTGGCCAAATATATATATTATCGTTAACATATTAGTGCAACCAGTAAAGACTATAAAGAATGATTAGGGAATAATTTATTAATTATTGAATAATTTCGTACTTCTCTGTTTTACGTAATAATCCACCGACGCTGCTTGCGAAGGAATATTTTGTAACAAGGCAATCAAATATTCGTCAATTCGTTAACAACTGCAATGATCAACTGACTCGAGTATACAATAAAATAATACTGAACGTTGGTAGATAAAATGAGATTAAATGAGATTTTTACATCATCAAATTAAATACATTGGGAATTCCCCGGCTGGCTTTTCCCGAATTTACGTCTTCATTCATTAGGTGCATTCAATATTACACCGTTCAATGAGCGTTTAGTGAACTCTTGCATCCAATTGGCATATGCCATGGATCTAAAACTATATACCAATCAGATGCAAGAGTTTACTGAACGCTCAATGAGCGGTTGTAAAGGCCGGTTTATGATGGCCGTAATCTATTAACTTATGCCGGAACTGTAAAAAATTGACCAATCATAGTCGATTATTCTTTTATAATTCGACTATGATTGGTCAATTTTTTACGGTTCCGGCATAAGTTAACGGATCATGGTCACCATAAACTGACCTTAAACCTTCCAGTGCAATGACAATTGTATATGACTGCCTTGTTACAAATGTACTGGAATATACATGGACCAAGGCTGCGTTCTGGGGGTCGATTGTGTATCTCAAAACAGAGTGAAAATGACAAAAGTGAGCAAATTTACTAGAATATTTATAACTTCGTTGGTCAATGTCTAGTGAATTTTCTCATTTTTATAATTTTCATTCCGTTTCGAGATACACAATCGACCTCCTGGGTAGTGATCATGAATCTTTTCCCCTAGTGTGAACTCGTGAAAAGTGAAAATTTTGTAATTAACTCGTGAAAGATGAAAACCTTCACTAAATCCGTGAAAAATGAAAGATTTAACGTGAATTTGTAAGTAAAATAAATATTACAATATACTTAAGACAATACCAATTTGCAATGGACATCTTTAGAATTTTTTCAGCATGTTTTTAAGACATAGTGATTAGAGATGCCCGATTCTTAATCGATTCGATTCTTTTCCTAACAAATTTAGGGAAAAAGGGTTGTTCGTGCTGCTTGCATGTTTTATATTTTTCGCTCTTAAAAAGAGATGGACGCCTAATTAGACGCTTGGAAGAAACAATTGAGTTGGTTATCTCGTTTTTGTTTCTTCGAAACATTCCAATATACTTCTATTTAGTTTTAAATACGAAAAGTGCGAAGAGTGCAAACAACACGAATAAGTCTTTTATATTTTTGGAGAAAGAATCGAATCGATTCAGAATTGGGCATCTCTAATAGTAATGTCTTTAGAACGTCACTTGGAAGTCTGCTTGTCTGGGATTACTTTAGCATAAATTATTAAAAGATAAAATATTCTATTTATATTAAAATTATAAATCTGCAGAAAATATATATTTCATATAAAATAATACATAAAATACATGCAATAAATACATAAAATAAACTTACATTTCACTTACTGCATACAATTTATAATATATTATGGCTCCTGCACACAGGACGCGGTAATGCTTGCCGCGCGGCGGAAGTTCGCGCGACAGCCAATCAATATGCTGCTTTCCGTAATAACCTTCTAGCTCTTACGGAAAAACAAGGAGCCATTAGAAGTTCTAAAAATTGCGTCATGTTTTCCGTTCGTGTTACGAGTGTAAATGTAATTCTGATACACTTTTCACTCTTGCTTGGGATCAAGGGTAAAAAGTGTATTAGAATTGCATTTACACTCGTAACACAAACGGAAATCATAACGTCATTTGTAGAACCTCTAAAGAATTAATGTGCACTAAGTGTGAAAGTGTAAAAAATTCAATTAATGCGAATAAACTTATTGGATATCTTTAGATAACTCACATCTTCAAAGGACGTCCTAAAAATATTCTGATGACATCCCTCCGTCCTAAAAGCATCTTCAGAACGTATTTTGGAAAATTTGTGTTGTATGAGGTGCAGTAGTGTGCAACGGGCATTAGGTGTAAAAGTGTGAATAGTACAACTCGAACAAACCTTATATATATATAAATATAATCATTTGTTCTGCATTGGCGTCGCAATGTCTAAATCCGTATATATTTATGCCAGCCAATCAGCTGGTCATGTGACCAAGTTGGCGATTCTCTGTACTAGAGGTTCTCAATTGCACCAGTTCATCAGCGCAGTTACAAAGAACAGACTTTTAAATTATATCGTGTAGAAATTTTCCTTGGTACCAATATTATCCCTTCCACTTTTCAAGAAATTGTCATCTAATCGTTAGATCCTTAAATTTAGACTAATTACATTGGATGCTTTCCAATTACTTAACACATCTTGACACACACGTACACAAAACCAGTTTATTGGTCACATATTATCTAAAATATTTTGTAAGATAATATACAACCAATAAGCTGGTTTTGTATAACACAGTGTACGCAACTGGAAAGCACCCGTTGACGAAATGCTCAACCGTTGTGCAATTGTTGAGTTCGCTGAACGCATTCTATGGGTGCGTTCCAAAATGCACTGGTAGTAAAATTTATAGTTCATGTTACATATATTATAGAATTTCAGTACAGGCAATAAATTTCGGAACGCAGCCAATATGGTATAAATTTCCTTATCATTGTTGCGGCTGGGAAAATAGGGTAATGTTGTTTCTAGTGCTTGGTAACTCCATGGCAACGTTGATCGCTCTTCTACCCCTCCTGAATTTTTTCGATCCACGAACCAGTTAAAATGCGCGTTGCCTCGCGGATTTCGTATAACTGTCAGTAACGGTGAAAATAACGTGAATTATTAATCGATCGTGATGGACACAAAGAAGCTACAGCAGTTTATGGAGCTGGTAGGCCGGTTGAAAGTGAGTTAAAGATGATACATTCGTGCTTATGCTCATGCTGTCAAATCGTTTTTCGTTTTGTTTTATCGTATCCTTCTCTCTCTTTTGTTTACTCATTCGCTCGCATCTCCTCTGTATGGAAACCGTTTCATGGCAAACCGCGTGTGCCAATCTCGATTATGTAACATATGACCTTCACGCTCTTAATGTAATCGATTGGAAATCCCATGTTTTCTTAATGCTTTAACAGCATTGTCCGGCACATTCGAAACTTTACATATTTACAATTGTATTCCATTTGGAAATCATTATCATTAACCTTTTGGCATTAACAAAATATGGTAGGCATAGGCATAATTGAGGCTTTGAAATAACTTTAAAAAAAAAAGAAGGGAAAGAAAATGAGGGAGGAAAACAGAATTTTTGAACATCAAAATGATAAAAATATAAAAGAGTAGGACATCGGGTTGTTCTTCTTTGATGAAGCAGACTGATGTTTGCGAAACGTGATAATCAGACAAAGGATTCACGTTGCTCAAACCCGGAAATCAAATAAAAAAAAATAGTGTAATCATATCAATTCTACCTGATAAATATAGACTTATATCTTTTTTTATTATCCCCTTGTTCACAACCTTGTTTTAATCTTTAAGCTGTAATAAATTGACTAACCACAGTCGATTATTTTAAAAATAATCAACTGTGCTTGGTCAATTTTTTATGGCGTAAGAATTAAAGCTGGATTGTGGACAAGAGGTACATGTTGCTATTAAAATTGTTAATTTTTATGCATTGATTTATATCACAAATAAACAATTTATTTCTTGAAAGAAAATAGAATATATCTCTGTTGTTGATAGAGCTTAGCGTTGTTCTTCAGCAATAATTTATTTTATGGATATGCTTTCAGTCATTTAATTGTATTTATTGTGGGAGATGTTGACTTCTGGAACAGAAAAATAAGAATTGTTGTTCAGTTTTTTAGTCGAAATATCTTCTTCAGTATATTCTTTACTTCTATATATTTATATATACTTGTATATGTTTATATAACTATATATACTTTAGAAACTTGAATAATGGAATATTTATAACATATACAATATGTGCAAACTTTTTTAAATGCCTTTTTGTAATTTTAAGATATAATTTGTGAGTTTAAAAGAGTCTGTATGCTTCTTGAAAGATTGCTTAAAGTTGTAGAAAATAATGTAGAATATTTAGATTATGTATTTTATTATTTAGGAAAGTAAAACTCTAATTTTATAAAGGAATAAAAAGAATCTTTATATATGTTTAATACTTTCACTTCAATGTTTGCAGCATATGAAAAGAACAGGATGGGTGAAGCGAGATGTACCTGATTCTGAAACAATTGCTGGACACATGTATCGAATGGCAATGCTATCATTCCTAGTGGATGGAAAAGAAAATTTAGATAAAACCAAGTAAGATAAAATATTTGTTATATCAGATATATTTCATAAAATTGTTTCTTTTAAAGTTACATAAATTTATTATCAAGAAAATACATTGAAATTATAGAAGACAAATTAATAACTTATTTTGTAATTCACAGAATAATGCAAATGACATTAATTCATGATTTAGCCGAATGTATCGTGGGAGATATAACTCCTTACTGTGGTATTCCACCAGATGAGAAACACAGATTGGAAGATGAAGCTATGGAAGACATTTGTAAATTGCTAGATGATAAAGGACCTGAAATATTGCAAATATTTCGTGTAAGAGAAATCTTATGACTTTTATTTTTATTTCTACATCTTGAAAGAAAAAAGTTCAAGGTCTCTATTTTTCTCCACATTATACTTAAAATTTTGAAGACATTTTATTTTAAATTTAGAAATATCATAAATTCCGTCATAATGTTTATCCTTCAATCACTAAGATCTTATTTAATTAATCTAGTTAATATGGTTAACATAGTATATACTGATAGAGGAAACAAAGAATAGACAACCTATTTTTTTTCATAATGCTGATTTAAATTTTTACTTTTACTTTTAATATTCATCAGGAATATGAGAAGCAAGAAACCCCGGAAGCACAGTATGTGAAAGATTTAGATAGATTGGACTTGATGATGCAAGCGTTCGAGTATGAGAAGAGAGACAATATCTTGGGGAAATTGGAAGAATTCTTTGTCGCGACAAATGGAAAGATTAAACATCCCTTTATCAATAAACTTGCAAGTGATATAGCCTCCGAGAGAAAAGCTTTGCTGAGTGATTCAGACATTGCGAAATAACAAAGGTGCTGCTTTAGGCGAAAATCTGGAAGGCGAAAATCTGGAAGAGCAAGTTTCCAAATAACTTAAATGATATTTTGAACATTAAGTTGGAGCATGCAGTATTATTCCAGAACAACTATGACGGCGGTTATATTAAATATATTTCTAGTAAAAGAAATTTGTGCATTGCGGTCTCGCGATTTAACAATTATTTCTTTGATTGCTGAAGTTATTTGAACAGTTCGCACGCGTGTTGCACAGTAGATTTTATCTAAAGTAATATTTATTTATGTATTTTCTTATATATATATTTTACATTTTGACATCACTCCTAGACTTTTTTTTATTATTATTTCTTATTATTGGAGTAACATACATATACATTTTCCATATTTATCGTAATTAAGTATTTAATAGTAAAGCAACTACCAAATATCTTTTAAGGCTTCTGGGGAGTCGCATCATCCATTTCTTTTTAATGACGTCAGAAGCGAGAAAACGCATGCTAAAAATTCCTGCAAAATACGTCGAGATAAACAGATATATTCACAAAACGACATTTGCGATCGATTAAGTACACCTCTAAAATACTCCGTACACTTTCCTTTTGTTCTAACAATCAACAGATAATTATAAAATAAATGTGACGTGCAATCGTCTTTTCTAACCTAATTTCCTCATTATCTTGTCATATTAATTTTTCGATTATCTATTGATTTTTAGAACAAAAGGAAAGTGTACGGAGTATTTTAGAGGTGTACTTAATCGATCGCAAATGTTGTTTTGTAGATATATCTGTTTATCTGGACGTATTTTGCAGGAATTTTTAGCATGCGTTTTCTCGCTTCTGACGTCATTAAAAAGAGATGGATGATGCGACTCCCCAGGAGCCTTAATTATTGTGTAGATTATAAAGAGAAGAAAGCTAAGCTATATAGATAGTATTCGGATATTACACCAAACATTAAAGCTTCTAGTTATTCGCCATGGTTATCTTGATTTATAGCATCAGAAGTGAAAAAATATGTTAAATATTCTTGCAAAATACATTGAAATAAAATGATGTTTATGAAACGATATTTGCAATCGACCGAACATACTTGTAAAGTAGTTTGGATATTTTCCTTTTACTCTAACAATCAACAAATAACCGTAAAATTAACGTGACAAAATCATAAAAGAAGATAGATTAAAAAGATAGAAAGATAGATTAAAGATAAGTTTAAAAGGTAGATTAAAAAGGAAGCTTGTGTGTCACATTAATTTTACGATTATTTATTGATTATTTAAACAAAAGGAAAATATTTGAACTATTTTACAAGTTTGCTTGATCAATTAGTAAGTATCATTTTATAGAGACATTTTTCTATTTTAATATATTTTGCAAGGGATTTTCAGCATATTTTTTTAGTTTTTGACCTCATCAATCAAGAGTTCTACAGCAAAGAGTAGTTAGCAATCTTAATGTGATTTTTAACACTGCCTGAAACAGAAAAATATGATTACTGCCTTTCTATCTTATCGTCGGCCAAATTAGAAAATCTCTTAACTTCTATATTATTGATAAAATTGAGATACTTATTTTGTCCAACTTGTCTTGAAATTCTGCATCATTTGAAAAATCTATAAAATTAGGATTTTGTGAATCAGGAGGTTTTCTTATTTAGCCAGAAATTCATTGCTTAATATTATTGTTAGTTTTTATAATGGTCTATTTTGAAAGTATACGAGATACTTATTTTTACAATTCTAGTTACCTGGTATTATAAAATGTATACATATTGGTTTAATATTTACAAGCAAAATATTTATATTTTTTATCCAATTTCTGTTCTTATTGTTGTAAGATATTCTTTAAAATCATTAATTTATTTTGTGTACAAATTTAATAATACAGCAAAATACTATGTATCCAATTAATTTTTCTGTTATCTCCATCTAGTGTAAGTTGACACAAAACAAATGATAAATATTTAAGTGCTTTGAGGAATTTTGTTTACTTCAACATATTTTCATAATTTACTACATTAATTATATATAAAATGTCTCTTTAAAGGTTTGCATCACTTTAGCAGTTATCACAATTTCTACATTTTTCTCAATGTTTTGCTACAAGTTTCGTGTGAATATTTTAATTAATTTCAACTTTTTATTTATGTATGAAAAAATAATTGTTGAATTATCAACTTATGCTTATCACATAATTTGTAATTTAAGATCTTACACATAGAAAAATATAGACAAAAACTAAAGTACTAAAAATATAGACAATTTATAAATATTTTTTATGGCTAGCTGAAGGAGATAAGAGAAAGGTATTATATAAATTAGTTGAAGATTAGCATATAAAATAGTTGCTCAATATGTAAAATAGTGGAATTACTTGAACTTTCCGAAGGCTACATCTATTTGCTACTTTCGCTACTGACCTATTCGCCGAAGGCTGCTCCTCCTTGCTGCTTTTGCTGTTGACGCTTGCAGCGCATAACCCAAGAATGTAATTAAATCTTCAAAAAAATATATAAGCGAGCACAATAGTATTTTTGTTTGCAGAATATCTAGGCCTATATTTTGAATTCTACTTTATCGTTAAAAGCGTCCCTAAAAGTGGCTTATAAGTCACTTTTAGAGTTTTTGACGATAAAAGAGAGTTTGGAATATAAATTATAACCTCTCGAAACAACAATACGTGCGCTCTCTCTCTCTCTCTCTCTTATTTGGTATTCAGATCTTAAAGCCCTATGCACAATGCCAGGCAATATAATAGGAACAAGGAATAGAAATAATTGGCTCTTACGTTCACGATTCGCTCACACAATTGTAAAATGGCTTTAAGGTCTTGTGTTTAGTCCGATATTCTTACGTCTATATAATGGCACATGGAAACTTTATATAGTGTTGGATTTAAAATATTTTGTACTACATATTTAAATCTAATCCAACAATCTGAAAATATATAGGATTTTTTAAATCATTTCGTAGAGAATAATAATAAATAGAAGTCCATTCCTATGTAATATAAAATATATGTTAGATAAAAAAGGTAAACAGAAAGAAAATATAATAATTTCGATTGTTTGAAGAAGCGACTAGTAACCACAGATGTCTAAACTAGATTGCTAACAAGGGTTTCGAACGTGTGTCGCGTAAGGTTTCCGGTTGCAGGCGAGAAAATGGCGGCAATCCTGTGTGGTAACGTTGTGTGTGTGACGTGTCACTTGTGTGAGTACTTACAACGTACATGTGAGTAGCGTGGCCATTAAATTACTATTGTAAAACCAAAAATATCAGCATCTTATTGCATCAAAAAAATGTCACAAATGTCGTAACAAAAAATAGATGGTATTGAATGTTATTTGCTCTGCTCATTTTTAACAAAAGAATTTTATGACTAAAAGTAGTGAAAATATGTGGCGGTAGCGGTCATTTTCTCGCATGCACCGGAAACTCTATCGGACACAAGCCATTACATGCTTTTAGATAGCCTGTTAGCAATCTAGTTTAGTATAGATATCTGTGCTAGTAACCAAAGAAATAAACTTAACATGCCTCAAATTGAGGGGGGATTCTTCTTTTTCATGCAAATCCATGTGGAGGGGCAACTAAGCGTAGTCACTACAATGACGGGGAATAATGGCGTTCCAATATTCACTGTCAGTACTGAAAATCTATAATATACGTGACATCAACTATAGACTTTCAGTATTGGCAGTGAATCGAAACACAGCTTGTGTGAATTTCTAATACAAATGCATTGACAAATACAGTAGTAGCGTCATTGACGTATCCATTTTAAGGTTTCGTAAGATCCTCAGCCTGCAAAAGTATGAAGGGAATTGTAAGGGCGAAAGTTTCTGTTAAAGAAATAGAATATTGTTTATGAATAATAATAAACTTTTAAATTTTATTTTGTAATATTTGCAGCCGATTTATCACACTAATATCAACATTTGTTGCACAGATAAGAAAAACTGCACAAAATCTTTTCAGTATTTTAACAATAAAATTGTATATATTAAATAATATATTTAATACATAAAATATATAATAAAAAATACATACAAACAAATAATATATAAAAATACAGAATTACACTATATATAAATATATATATTACATCTTAATATAAATTTTTAATACAAATATAAATACAATAGAAAAGTACATTAACAACACTTAGGGCCAACTTGTTTCAACTTCTTGGTAAGTTACCTGACAATTAAATCATATCTGTCTTCGTTTTTTTTTAAATTGAACAGAGATAGACACATGATTTAAATGTTGGCTTACCAAAAACTTGGAATAATCGGCCCTAAACTTAATACAACTTTTACATAATATTATATCAGTACTTAATCTATTACTCGCAGAAGAAACGCGGGAAGATTGCATCAGACAGACGAATCCTTTATGCATATATAAGACCCCATACTCTATGCTGCATTCGTCATTGGCTTATATCATTGTTACGTCACTTCACGCATATTCACAACCTTCCAGTTCCTATACCGTGAAGAAATTTCACGATTCCCCATCACTGCAGCGCAACTTCGCGATCATCGGGGCGCTCTTTCAGTGTCGACGGCAGTGGTATGGTTGTACGTTCATTCTGCGAGCGGTCAATACGACGCTTGGGTCGAGTTCGAATCATATATAACAGCATACGGACGCGGTGCGAAACAGTAACTTGATATTGATCATGTCGCGATCGACGAAAAATCACGACGTCTGGAATTCTCCGATGGCGATTCAGTCAAAATTCGATGTTGATGCGGACGGATTGTTGAATTATGAGGAGTTTCGGGCTTTGTGTGCTGAATTGTTCGGCATAGAAGAGGTGAAGAGGCATGAGTCGAAAGTACAAGAGATCTTTAAACTGTTCGACATGGACGCGGACGGTACTTTGGACGAGCGGGAATTGCACAGGTAACATATGCGCGCGCAATATCACCCCGTAATAATAACCGGGTAGATTTGAAGTAGTCTCGGGATAGAACTTTTTAAATCTTTCATACGTTGAGATAATAAATCTTTATATTCTAATGTTTAATTAATTTTATAATTAGATTATCAAATAACGTGTATCTTTATGAAAATCAAGCAATCTTGAATTCAGGACGTTTATCTTAACAAATGCGCGCATTTGCACAAGAATAGCATAAGTCAGTACTAGGAATTAGTTGCACATTTCAGACAAATTTCGGAGATGACGCTTACTATTCTCTCATTACCGTTCTAAACTTGACGGCTGAGCCGCTGATCGCACATAAAAAAATTTGCCTCAGACAATTATGAAATATGGGATTGTATCTTCCATCACAAACCGTCATTAAAATATTTTCCTTGTTCAGTAATTCTTATTTTCATAAATAATTAAATACTGCATTTTCTATTTGTAATATATTTTATACATATATTTGTTCATTTAATTTTATTTATGAAAATAAGTATTATTAAGCAAGGAAATTGTGACTTAATGGCGGTTTGGCAAAAGGTACGATTCCCAGATAATACAGAGAATTAAAAAAGAATTCAGTCATATGTCACCAATTCCGAGTTCATTTTTAGGTGCAAAAAGAATTCTTCAGAGTTAAGTTCAGTGAAAAGAATTTTTTTTGCACCCAAAAATGAACTCGGAATTGGTGACATAATTGGTGACTAAATTCTTTTTGAATTCTCTGTGCTAACTGGGATATTTCTTACATTAGAACGCTCTTAAGGCAGAGCGTCTCATGCGCGATCGACAGCTCGACTGTCGAGCTTAGAGCGGTAATGAGAAGATAATATTAATAATTATTATATTAATAATTATTATATTAATAGATAATTTCTTAGAAATCTACCTGAAATGCGCAACTAATTTCCAGCACATAAATAATAGAAAATATTCTAAAAATAAACGCTGAAGTACTTTTTTAACGTTGTCATATCACTACATCGATAAGTTGTAGGGGCACAAAAACCGAAAAAATTAAAAAAAGATAGAAATCGTCATTCTCATACTTATCTAAATGAGTAATTGAAATAAAAATATTTCATAAGAATATTTATATATTGCTTATTTTTATGTATAGAAACTTATGATCAATTTTAAAATTTAAAAATTTGTACAGCTTGTTTTTAAGAATGAATATAAACGTTGCATTGGAGTCAGTATTTTCTTTTTAACATACAGTTTCAGCAAACACAGAATATAACTATTATATAACATAGAAGTACACACGTAATATAAGCTGTTGTGCTAGTCTGCAAGAAATTATTACAATAATATTATTGCAGCATTATTCGGTAAAATGTAACGTTTACAAATAAGTTGTTTTTAACACTGTATAAAACATTATTATGAACAAACCTTGACCCTAGAGATTTCGGTAATGAAATTATATTTGATTATAATGTTATAAGCAATATTGCATTTACGTTTTTGATATTCTGATATCCTATTCCTTAATACGTATCGACAATATCTCTTGTGAGAAATTAATAAATTTTCCTATTATAATGGTGCAAATAAACTAATGTTTGATGATTCTATTTAAAAAGTAAAAAAAATCTGTCATTTCATTTTTTGTGTCTTTACATTTTTTACACTTCATACGTCTTTCTCTCCGATTTCGTATAATTTATGAAACCAAATATTTTTTCTCCGTTTTATTGTTCGACTGAGATTTATAACTTCATAATAATGTCATAGCAATATTACATCTATGATAAAACGAAACATCGGTTCAGCCGTGATAGCGGAAAGCGGAAGCGAAAGCGGAAGCTTCGAATTCCGCTTCCGCAGTTAATTCACGTAAGATATTACGGCTGCTCAGTGTTTGCGGTTGCGCTTAAGGGGATGCTGAAGCTGAAAACTTTACCGACATAATACTGACATTTTTCTGCAAAGTTTACATCGTATTGGTTACACAGAATTACAAATGTTTTTGACGCAATGAAAGTACATGCAAAGATAAATTGGAGCATTGCTCGATATGTTACGAAAACGAACAAAAATTTTTAATGTAAAATCTCAATCTGTCAGTTAGCGTAATATTTGCTTAATCCAAAAGTTTCGCAGCTTATATATGCCGAAAGTGTGGATGCTCCAAACAGAAAAATTTTGAAGAACATTGCTTTACTTTCGCATCTGCTTTTAAAAGCTTAAAAATATCGAAAAAGTTTGCAGAAAGATTTCTACGCATATATGCCCAGTAAGAAAATTGAGTGCAGACTGCGCGCAGATTGGCAGCAAATTTGATCAAAAACCCACAGCAAAACCATAACCATCTGTGTCTACATTAGGCTACGTTTTTTGGCGACAGATCTTGCTGTCGGGCAATTGGTGCCAAATTTGCAGCAAAAACCGCGCAAAGCTTTAGCGCAGAAAGGTCTGCGTGATTTCTGCCGCTAATCTGCCGTCAAATCGCTACAAGCTCTGCGCGGTTTTTACTGCAAATCTGCAGCAATTATCCGACAACAAACTCTGCCGCATATTTGGCAGCAATTTGGCAGCAAGATTTGATATAACAGATCCTGCATCAAATTTGTTATCTATTTGCCATTAAAAGTTGATAGCAAGCTCTGCTCGAAATCTGTTCGCGCAGGTTTGGCTATCTGGGTGGTTAGGTTTTGTTCCATAATGTCTCTGCAATGTTACATTGCAACTTGTAATATTATTGTAAGCTTCTGCTATGTGTGTGGAATTGGTCGAAGCGGAGAAATACAAAATGAATATTAAAATTTCACTTTGAACCAAGAAGAATTAATAACGTAGTTTTTAAGATTTAAAAGCGGTTTTTCTCATAGATGTCACGAATGGATACGCGCTACTGTAAATCCTGTGAATGTTTTGGTAGTGGTCGATGTGCAGAATGATTTTATCGATGGCACATTAGCCTTTCGAAATTGTGATTACGGACAGGAAGCTGTGGAAGTAGTGGAGCCCATTAATCGTCTTATAACGGCAGGTCGGTGGGACAAAGTGATATATACTCTCGATTGGCATCCGGAGGATCATATCAGTTTCTTCGAGAATTTAGCGAAGCGTGAACTCCATCAGGATAGTAAGGTATTGCGTAATTGGACGAATTATTTACATTGTTCCTGAATAGTGAGTTCTTTTTATCGCATATTATATATCATACAAAATATGTATGTTCAAATATTTTTTTTTCATCATGATCTCACCACGATTCGGAACAGGTCACTAAAGAAATGGCAAAACTTTTCGATACTGTCGTCTTCTCGCAACCATATGTCACACAGACTCTTTGGCCGAAGCACTGCGTTAAGGGCACTTGGGGTGCTGCATTGTACAAAGACCTCTTAATCGTGCCTTCTTCTGAGCAGGTGATATATAACAATGCATGATAATACATGGAATACATATGATATAATATATAATTATATATAATACATAATTAAAGACATACTTTTTGGAAAAAGCACATTATTCATATGCATATGGCATATGCTCAATATCAGTTAATAAAAAATTCCTTGACGCTTAGAATCGCATAATCGACAGTCAAGTTTTGCCAGTTTTTCAACGAAACAATTTCAGAATTGTTCGTTGTTGATTAGAAATGTTCGTCTTCCTTTTATGAATAGTTTCTTCTGAAAAGTTTCCATATTTTAGGTTCACAAAGGTCAGATTTCGGACATAGAGGAATTATCGGCTTTCGGCAAAGTGGTCAATGGCGAGGATGGCAATAGCTCGGAGCTTACAAAGGTTTTGTCGAAAATAGGTGCCACACACTTATACGTTTGCGGTCTTGCTTATGATATTTGCGTAAAAGAAACGTGTTTGGGTGGTCTTCAACTGGGTTATCGGTTAGCCATTGTTGACGATTGTTGTCGTGCTGCAAACAGAAATAACATAGATATTGCTAAGAAAACGATATCTGAAAATGGTGGTCTGGTGGCGTCCAGTGAACACGTTCTGTCCTTAGTGAATAAAGATAAACGTAGTCTGGTGATGGCGTATCATGCTGCGAAATACATTTTGTAAAGAGAATCCTATAGTTTTGCAGGCGTATTCGAGATATTATCTTTAACTATAGTTAAGTTATCGGTTATAACCGACGCTAATTGCACTTTTGACAAACCATATGAATTGGAATAGTTAAAAATGTATTTTGGATATAATTTTTGTCTTTTTTTATAGGATATATTGGTGTTGGGTGTCATACATGTATTTACCAAAAATACGAATAAAATATTTAAACTCTTATATGACTTATTTCTATCCTTTTTATCGAATATATTGTAGTATTGCTGTTTCGTGATCCGTGAAGTGACGCGGACAATACTGAAACCTACAAGGTTGGTAATAAAAGTTGACCTTGTAGTCTCAAAAATACAGTTGCGCAAGCATTCATGATTGTTAAAAGGGATGGGCGTTGCAACAGGAGATAACAACGTTTGTTGTTACGTAACATTGAAGTGACACGCAATTACTTACACATACGAGACATATATTCATATGTGTTTCATTGTGTTTTAATAGTCCTTCTATTTCCAGTCGTCATTAAATGCGGTTAGTTGTTTTTGTCGATTAACAATCATGCTGTTCTGTTGATCTTGTTCGCCGATTCATCGTCGACCGTTAAATCGCAAATATATTTTTGCTTCAGCCGCAATTCTCGTCTTTATAGGAATAGATCTTTGACGATTCGTTATATGATGGTTTTAAATATCTACAATTTGAAATGAAAATTACAGTGGTTATATGTATACACACACACACACACACACACACACACACACACACACACACACACACACACA